AAATCTGTTTCAACGTCTCTGAAGAAGTGTGCATGCAAATGAAAGCTTATATCTGGAGCTCAATTTTGTTGGTCTTAAAGGTGCCTCCACTGGACTCAAACTTTGTTCTATTGGTCCAGACCAACACAGCTACCCCCTGAATCTACATTTTTATGATATGACTGTTGATGGGCTGAAGGCTACCATCTTTTCCACTGGCAAAAAGGGGAGGAGGGCTGCTGCTTTGATCTCCGAAAGGGCCACGCCAGGGATCATGAGAACCAAATGCAAAAAAACCACATGGTGGCTGCAGTGAGAGGGAAATCAGAAGAGATTGAGCAGAAAAACTGGTAGAATCCAACCCAATATCTGTTGTGGTTTTATCTACAACACTACGGGAGCCAAACAAAGGGTATAAAACCACATCCTGTTTGTAAACAATACTTACTCAACTATTCAAAAAAGGGGACGGGGGGGGGGGAAATCCCAAAATTTTAATAAACAATTCTCCTTCCTGGTCAACTGGAGGCAATGAATTAGTCACCAGGGATGACCAGCTAAGCAGGTACAAAGGCACACAGTATTTTGACAAGCGCCACGTGCTACTGAAGACCCTTTCCTGACTCTGAGTCTGCCTTTCCCCAACACTGACTGTCCCAGCAAGGAAACCACCCATGTGATAACAAACAAGGGCAGGCCTCTGGGTGTTGCCCCACTACAGACAAGCTCCAAGTCACAACACTGCCTGGCTCTTCTGGGACAGAAGCAAAACAAGAACAGAAGTGCAGCCTGGGTGTCTCTCCAGCATCCAACCCGTAGAGAAGTCAGCTCCACGCCAGACATCAGGAAACAATCTTCAAAATGACACCGTTCATCAGTGATAAACCCTTCATTATTGTCGTTAGCATAATACGCATGGTGATATACAATGCTCTTCCCATGTTGCAAGGAAAAATCATAATAAACTATTTGAGGGCTCTGGCAGAGCATGCAGGGATTTACTGCTCCAGTGACTGCTGCAGGACCACCTGTGCCCTTTGGCACACTTGAGCTGGTGTGAAATCTCATTCCCACCTTCACTATGCGCACACCCTGTCCCCTGGGAGGAGGCCCAGTTCACCATCCCAACTCTGCTGCCACTGGGAATCCCATTCCCCTGGCTAGCTCACATGCGTCTGTGCTCTGCCCTTCCACTGCTCTGCAGCCCACCGCTGGAGCCACAAAGCGTCCCTGAGCACTATAAAGGCATTCAGCAGAGTCCTTTGGGAATCTGCCTGACCATCATGGTCATCTTTTAGGCGCCCTGGCCTTCTGAGATTAGGCGGGGCCTTCTTGGTCACAGCACCAAAGCTCTGGAACTCTCTCCCCAGGGAGATGTGCCTGTCCCCTTCTGCGGCCACGTTCACCAGCAGGTGGAGACTTTTTTCTTTCATGTGGCATTCCCTCAGTGACCTCTCCATTCCAACCAATGTCTCAGTGCTCCGTATTTTAACTCTGTCATAACTCTTTCTAAAGTTGTTTTAATGATGTATGTTTGCAAGCAGTGTTGATTTTAATACTTTTATAAATGTAATTTATCATTTCTGTTTTAAATTGTCAGCCAGCTTGGTGGCCCTTGTAAAGACAGAAAATTATATACATATATGAAAATAAATAAGAATAGAGCTTATCTCTGAAGCACTGCGAGTCTGGACCCAACCCACGCATGCCAGGAGCCGACTCAGCATCCACCACATAAGACCACGCAGAGCTCGTTCCGAAGGGAGAGGCATCCAGAGAAGGCGGCCCCAATACTCCTAGGAGATCAATTCATCCAAGACATCACAAGACCCAAATTCTCCTTCCATCCCACTTTTCAACATATTTGGTTCCTTCCTCAGTATCCATCATGGGTGCCAGCCTAACATTGCTTTGCCCAAACAACACAGCCTAATTGCTGCCCGTGAGCATCGTGTGTACCACTGACTCTGTTGTCCAGTCACCCCACTACTATGGTATTTGCCGTACTCTCCAAACGCTCAAGCAACATGTTTCACACTTTTTACACATACATGGAATTTTTTTTACAAGCCATAAGGATATACAAGAGCACAACAGAAGTGAATGTCTGGACACAGGCAACATCAGAGCACAGGCACCGGGATGCGACAAGTGGTCGCGACTCTATACCATGCACCCGGCAACGCACACTTGCTGCGGAAAATACGTGAAGCAATCCTGATACAGGTTGAAAATGAAAACTTTTAAGCAAGTCAGGGAGGAAGACAACCACACCTCACCCACCTCCAAGCAATTAAAAAACCCCTGATGACTCACCCAGTTCCCCAAACCTGTATGAACAGTCCATCCAACTCAGGGATCAGTTTCCCATAGAGGCCATCCACATCCCTAGAAGCCCAAAGTTTCCCCAGAATATTTAGAGGGAGAATACCTCTGAACATGGAGGTTCTATTTAGTCACTCACAGAATCATAGAATCACAAAGAGCTGGAAGGGGCCATCCAGTCCAACCCCCTCTGCTCAATGCAGGATCAGCCTAGAGCATCCCTGGCAAGTGTTGGTCCAGCTGCTACGTAAAGACTGCCAGTGAGGAGGGGGAGCTCACCACCTCCCCAGGCAGCTGATTCCACTCTTGCACAACTCTGACTGTAAAACGTTTTCCCTCAGATCCAGCTGGTACCTTCCCGTCCTCTGCTGCCCACAGGAACAGCTCCCTGCCCTCCTCTAAGGGACAGCCCTTCAAAGACTTCAAGAGAGCAATCCTGTCCCCCCTCCACCTCCTCTTCTCCAGGCTGAACATTCCCAAGAAGTCCCTCAGCCTCTCCTCACAGGGCTTCTTGGTCTCCAGGCCCCCGATCCTCCTCGTCGCTCTCCTCTGCACCCGCTCCATTCTGTCCACATCCTTTTTGAGGTGAGGCCTCCAGAACTGCACACAATCAGGTGCAGCCTGACCAATGCAGTGTACAGCAGGACTATGACATCTTGCAATTAGGATGTTAAGCCTCTGTTGATACACCCCAAGAGCCCATTAGCGTTTCTGTTGCTGTGTCATACTGGCTGCTCACATTTAACTTTCGGTCCACCCGTACCCCAAGATCTTGTTCACACACGCCACTACTCAGAAGTGTATCACCCATCTGGTATGCATGTTCCTCATTTTTGTTACCCAGATGTGGAACTCAGCATTTATCTTTGTTAAACTGCATCTTGTCCACATCCACCCTCTTTTCCAGCGTGTTCGGATCGCGTTAAATTCTACCTCTATCTTCTGGTGTGTTTGCTGCTCCTCCCAATTTGGTGTCATCTGCAAATAGATCTGGTCATGGACTGTAATATAATAATCAATTACAAATTACAATTACTGGGCCCAAAATCGAGCCCTCGTGGCCCCCCACTGGACGCCTCCCTCCGTTCAGGTGAAATGCCACTGACGTCTACTCTCTGAGTGTGGTTCTCCAACCACTTCCCTATCCACCTAACTTATCCTACAATCCAATCCACAGTCCTTTAGTTTACCCATCAGAACATCATGGGGAACCCTGTCAAAAGCTTTACTGAAATCCAGTAAACATGATTGCTTTAAGTATTACCCACTGCAGATAGTACCCACCAAGGGACCTGTCTGCCAAGAATTTGGCTAATCCCCTTTAAAAGCCAAGCAAACTAGTGGCTGTCAAAACATCCTGTAGTGATGAATTCCACAAACTATTGACTCTTACTTCCTTTTCTCTCCCTGAACTGATTAGCCACCAACTTCACTGCCTTGTTCTGCCCAGCATCTAACGCCATCTCTCCCCAATTTCCCCTGCAAAGCATCAACTGGCCATCAGTTTCCTAGTATATTTTCTTTATTTATTTGCACTGGCATTATTCATATTCCGCCTCTCTCACCTGGATCAAGGTCCTGCTGATCTACCACTCCACGGCAGAATGAAGCTTCCTCTCTCCCGAGGAAGGGCTGATTTCTCCGGAATGACCAGCTAGCAGAGATTCAACAGGTACAGCATTATGCAGCCGTGCTTGACCCGTGGCATTTCCTCCTACCCCAGAATTCTTCAAGGGGCATTACGGGAAACAGGGAAGAGGAAAGCGGCAACCCGCCCCCCAGCCACCCCGCCCCCAAGTGTTTCTCTGCCGTCCTAAAAAACAGCAAGCAGCAACCCAACAGGTACAGCTTCCCCCCACATAACACCGGGGACGCCCCACCTGGAGAGTTCTGACTTGCTCCAATGTGCGGACTACCAAACGCCGCCCACCCCCCTCCAATGGTTACCTTCCCCCCCGTTAATGAAGCCCGCGGGCCACCCAGGCGCCCTCGGAGGCAGCCGCGGCGTCCGGGCCCACGTCGCCTCCCCCTCCTCGCCCCCCCGCCCCCCCTCACCGGTCTCCTCGTCCCGGCTCCCCGCGAGGCGGCAGGCACGCCCAAGCACACCGAATCCGGCCGAAGGGCGGGCGGGCCGGCGCCTCTGCCTACACCTCCCGGCATGCAACGGGCCTCGGCATCCGCTCGCACGCGTACAGACAGAAGCCGGCTAGGGACTGCATTTCCCAGCATGCCGTATCAAGTGCTCGCCAGGCCAAGCCTTTCAAACCAGAGCTATCGAGATGGTAAAAAACGGTCTTGATCGAGGAGCAAAAGATTTTTTATTTTTGTCGTTGAAAAAAATCCCATTCTTAAACCTATTCAGAATTAAGAAGAAGAAGAAGAAGAGATTGGATTTATACCCCGCTGCCCTTCACTACCCAAAGGAGTCTCAGAGCGGCTTACAAACTCCTTTCCCTTCCCCTCCCCACAACAGACACCCTGTGAGGTCGGTGGGGCTGAGAGAGCTCTGACACAAACTGCTCTTTTTCAAGAATAGCTCTTGTCAGAACTACAGCTTGCCCAAGGTCACCCAGCCAGGTGCAAGTGGAGGAGTGGGGAATCAGAGCCGGTTCTCCCAGATTAGAGTCCGTGCACTTAACCACGACACCAAACAGAGTAATAACAAAAACTAAGGATAAGAAATATCAACATCCTACCGAAGTTATATCCTCCTTCTACATCCACTGACGTGAAGACCCCACTTGAAGGACAACTTCATCTCATAAGCCCAGGGGCCCTTTGGCTTGTCAGGACCACGTAGGGCCTCACCAGAGAGCAGGGCTGCCAACCTCAGGCGGGGAGATTCCCGGACATTTGTCGGTGGAGCCTGGAAAAGGCCGAATCTGGGGGGAGGAGGAGGAGCTCTTCAGGGATACAGCCCGCCCTCCGAAGCGATCCTTTTCTCCAGACGTCTGTAGTCTGGAGATGAGTTGTGAGGCCCCACCTGGAGGCTGGCAACCCTACATGAGGCTATGAAGAAGAAGAAAATGATAAGTCCTACTAAGACCCAAGAGTACTGAAAGGCAAGAAAGGCCAGGTGATGTGTAAGTCTGTAAGAAACCAGATGTAAGGAGGTCCATTCACAGGAGCAGGACAAGGTCTGGGTCCAGGGCCCCTGGAAGACCGACAGCGCTTTATTCCTGGCATGAGCGCCGCTCCTTTGCAAGCACACGTGCTCCCCCCCCCCCC